TTATATGCTAACATAACCAGATGGATGGGAAAAAGTCTAATAATGTAGGAAATATAAGTTTCATTGACATAGGCCACCAATGGTCTGTAAATTGCGTCTATAAATTCTACAATCTTTTCTTTAATAGAAAGATGTTTTATTACTAGAACAATGTACGAAAGCCTCACTAAAAGCGTTTTCCATATCCTGTTCAATGCACACTGTTTGCCTTTCAAAAAATTGGCTCTTCAATACTCCAATGCTCTGTATCCTCAAACAGATTATTTCTTTGATTTGCTTCTTTGGGCTTTTTGCCAAGTAAAAGAATTATTTGATTTCTTTTTGGTAAGCATTTTTATCAAAGGATTTAACAAAGCCAAGTTTAATATGCAATGGTGACAATAGCACCTGTGTGCAGCAACCAATAACACATGCGGACATTTTTTTCTCCCAGATTGGAAGGAATCTTGGCTTCATATGTTTGATATTTTCATATTCCTCATGGAAGAGGAAGAACATCATTTTTTGGTAAACGCTTCTTTTTGTAAACCATCAACATATGTGCCTTTTCATCTCCACATACGCGGATTCTTTACTCAACATGCAACCCAAATCTGTGCACTTGTTTTGGATCTGGCAAAGGTGAATACCTTTGGCTTCCCTTTTTTAACTTTAGATACCATCCCGTGCAAGTTGCATTGCTCACAGATTTAGGATGGAAAACAGGGCTATTTAGTTGAAGACAAAGCATGCACTTACTCCTTGGCAGTCATTCATTCAAGTTTCATTCATGGTCCGTATGGAACTCACAATTAGGAAGAATTTCTTCGAAAATGATGAAGGATCAATGTGTATTTTAGTGGACGTTTACTTTGGCACTTATCTTCTTTAAAGATGTCGGGAAATGTTCAGAATAAATTTGTGAAAACCAGTACCATCAAGTCAACAATTGTAGATTAATCAGTGCTCTCAGGGGCTTCAGGAACGTATGGATAAGAAGTGGAATTTTAGTGCCTCTGTTTTTGAGGAGGAGAATTCTTCTATTTCAGGAGGTTTTAAAGCACTCTCTGAGGATCTCCAAAATTGCATCCGCAATGCATATGTAGCAGACAAAGAAATTTGGAAAATGAGATTTCAAGTGGTAGATTTGTTCAAGAAACTGAAAGCATCGACAAGGATTGGCGTATACAACTTCTGCATTGGTTAGAGTTTCTTCAATTAGGGCTTCATGTCCTGACCTTGTTTTTTTGTATGTGCCTTGATTTCTCTGTATGGGAGATTATAAACAAGGCAGAATTGTTGGTTGTGGTGCACGTCGAACCAAATGCAACTTTTCAAAAAACTCTTCATTCTTGGAAGTCAGGGTTTGGCTGCACATCTCATCACCGAATTATTGGCACGCGTTTTTTCACAGAGCAATTTATTCTGAAAAGTATAAAGACATTGTGAAAACTTTGTATTCTTTTAGAAGAAGACAAGAGGAACTGCTGTTTCAGCATGAATGGACCCCATGTCTCACGCGAACAATAGTAATGAATTTCTAGTGAACTTTTCAGAAACAAATTGTTCATAAGGCCTGGTGGCACCATGTTGCCCGGATCTTTGTTCACTGAACTTTTTTCTGTGGGGTTAAATATTTGTAAAAAAGCAGTGCTTGAAGATTATACACTGCAACATTTGTAAAATTGAATTTTGATTATTTATGATATAAAATATAAAGTAAAAATAGAATCTGCTGATCATCTCACAGTACATGCTAATAAATTGCAATTGGACTATAAATAAATAATCAGAACAGCTCGACACTAGATTTGTTTTATATAGCACGTGAATCCCACTGTTGCACTCTGTTGTAGGTCTGAAACAGTCCACCACACAGCACTCAGAACCATTACCAAGTCACCAATTTGCTAGCGCTTTTATATCTACAGTGGTGATCACAGCACAATATTATCTTCAAAGTTGGTGGTTGCTTAGCAGGATCATACTGACGTCAGGCCTATGGAAAGGAGGATGTTTTCCAGAATCTCCATTGGCCATTTAGTTTCATGATCACTAGCATGGGTTGTCCTTTGTTGAGACGAAACCAAGAAGTCTTACAACATGGTGGAGTGTTGAACGCCGTGCAGGAACATAATCATCAATGGTACAAAGATTGATTAATAATGGTAATTCATGACACAAATAAATGAAATAGTCAAACGATTTTTTGATACAAGTCTAGGATATAATATATTTTTGAAGGAAAATTATAAACTTAAAACTTTGGAAAACCAAAAATTCAGCAAATATGAAAATAATAATATAATATTTCATATAATGGAATGAAGATATAAGTATTTTTAATTAGTGAAATAAGAATATAATTCTTTATTTAACAAATAAATACATTATATCCAGGTTTACAATGAAATAAATATCCTGCAACACTGGGCAAACAGGATAGCAATACCTATTTTCAGACAATAAAAAAATTTGGAGCGTGTCAATTATATGCAAAATGAAAACCTTTTTGCACAAGGTCACTTCTAACAGATGCTTCGTCAGAAACTCGTTTTCGTCACGATCAGTAGCATGTTCATTTCAGTCTTAATAGCAAATCTATTTTCTCTGCCTCACTATATCTCCGGCCACTATACTTCATACAGCATTCAAACGATCCTTGGCTTAATTCTTTTACTAGCTCAATTTTTTTCGTGGACTCCATTCTCTGGTAATAAATCTGTTCAAAATACAAAACTCAATACAGCAAAAGTCATTCTTCAAGTCAGTTCATTCCTCACAATTTTAAGTATTGCCAGCTTCATAAGCTGTTCCACAACATTTAAATAAACCATGAACAATTTGTAAAGTTTGTGGTAAGTGGCCAAACACGCGAAAATTACTTATTCTGATATCACTTTTAAGTTTGTTAATGATTTTTATTAGGGCTCCAGTAGTTTATAAACCTCCTAAACTTCTAAAAATGATTTTATTCTTATAGCATAAAAATATAAAAGAACATCTAATTAGTATTGAGTACTAATATGCTTGTTTATCACTTGAATATAATAAAAATAATTTAATTGGGAAAAGATTTATCTATATGTGATGATGGATTTCAAATTGTCAAAACCAATCTTTATATTTTACAGTCACAATCCAGGCACTTTTTTAAAATTCTGTCAGAACACCTAAAATTGGATAAGAAATATCTAAACTACACACAGGTGCTTCTTTCTGAAAGATTTGTGCAGCACTATCTCACATATATTCTTCAATTCATGATCGAATTAGATGATAGTTTCCAGATACAGTTAAGGCATTTAAAAATCAAATTTCCAACTAGCAATAAAACTTGGGACTTCACTGCTCTGAGAGCAGAGAAATTTGTTTCCACATTAAAAGATTATGTTAAAACCAAAATCAAACTTGAGTAATAATAGATCGACTGGAAAAAACTACAGTTTTGTCATATACAATTTGAGTAAATTCTTAAGAAAATTATGTTACGAAGCCTTCTTTTCTTATTCTTTTTCAATAAAAAAAAGTCAGACGTGTGGGAACGTATTCTGGATTATACAGATGCTATAGTTTCAATATTGGATACTCCAGGACATATTGTTCGGCGCCCATAAATTACATCAACAGATTACAACCTATATGATACAATCCAACAGAGCTCAACTACAAATTTAGGCGCAGGACCCTGATGGAGGTTCTAAAACCAATAAAAAAATTCTTTTTAACATTATTAAAATATAATGCAAAGTAACAATCTTTGTTAACAAGCCTTGACACTCTTCAAGATGTTACATTATTAACAAGTAGTTTGGCAAATGTGATAACCGAGGGAAGAATAATGCAATGCATACTTAGATGGTAGAAGTTAACGAAAACTGAGTGTAAGTGGTAAATCTGATCCCTGCAAGAGACACAGCTTTAACACGCACACTGTAATTTCAGGAGCCAAATTAAACGAAAGTGAAGGAATGCTGGTTTTCAACAAATTGGGCTTTCTGGTAACAATCAGATGCTGTTTTATACTGCAAAGAAGAACAGGATATATTTTATTGCTCAGAACCATTAATATTTAAGGGAATCACCAGAGACAGAGCAAGAACAAGTTACAAAATGCAGAATGGAACACAAACACTTCTACAAAGTATTGATCATACACTAAACAAACATCAAGAAAACACAGCGTGAATCTACATTATCATGATCTAAAGTGGAGGCTTAGTTCTAGAAATCTCTATACTAATATATGAAGTAATGTATACAATTTTGTATATGTATAGAAAGTATGCCTAATACAAGAGTACAGGAGTAAGGTATGTTGTATATCATTCAGCAAGTTTCAATGCTATTATATTACATGTATGTGAAATGTTCCAAAAATTCAAAGCATCACACTACAAAGCAAGTGTTTCTCAATAATAATTAAATAACACATGCAAAAGAAAAATTCAGAAAACATTTCAATTTGGCATATAAGAACACAAATGTTTTTTGGATTGTTTACAATTATTTGCGTCTAATAAAGGATCTGCATTGCTATACATCTCTCTAATAAAATCTTTTGGCCATTATTCAATGAATCAGATCATAATCAGATGATCCACATGACACATTAAAAATCGTTTACTAAGTTTGCAAAATCCGGACATTTTCAGGACAAATTTAATACCTTCATGCTATGTCATGATTTTTGGCAAACTTAAATAAATTGTTACTAGTTATAATTGAATATTGAATCCTGGAATCAGTTCCTTGAAATATGGAAAAAATATTTACATTATTGAGAGTGATGGATCAGTATACAATTAGCAATATAGATTTTTTCCTTTTCTCTGTCTTATCAGTGGAATCATGTGAAAACTGCTTAAAGGAATTAATATGTGTATGTATATGTATGTGGATTATTAAAGTATAGTAATGTTGGATATATTATATATAGTATAATAAAAGACATTTTATGATAACATACGGATGTTTATTGTTAAGGATTTGAAGTTTTTTTAAAGAATCATTGATAAACCCATAAAAACATGACATGATCCTGTAAATTAATCAGTAAGAGTATATATGCAAGCAAAACATCCTTCATTTATATAAATAGGTCAAATAACCTGAAGATGGGAGTAACCCAAGATCAACAAAGATTTTCTAACAGAAAATAAAACAAAATAATTAATGATTGTATGATTTTTTTTCACTATTTTAACTTATTGGTAAAGAAGCACAACAGGACCTTACATAATCAGGTTCAATGAACTCAAAAATTTTTTAATGTAAATTCATTTGAAAGAACCAATACTATACTCTTTTAACACAGCAATGCCTCAGTTTTCTCCTTTCCAAACGACGATACTCGATAAAAAATGTTACAATCTCTCCATTGGTTTAAGTGGTTCTTCCCATCTCAATTTTACAGATCCGCGGTCCTGATTCACAGTTTCAATGATATGAAGATGAGTTAATAAGATCACTGCAGTCTCTGTTATGAAAAAATTGAAAACTTTTTAGTACAAAGTAAAGCAATTTTATGATTAGAAATATGAATGCATACTTACTGAGATGCAAATGTTTTTGCACTGACAAACTCTTGGAATGCAATTTGAATGTGACATTTTGTTTCACTTCTTCTTCGAGCATGTTACGACATTGCTTCAAACAGTTATTGTATAGTCAGCAAAATGTTGAGTATCAGATTTGCACTTTAAGTGTCATTGACTCTTCTGGAAAATCTGGGCCTGAACCTGAGCAAAATATTCAAGTTGACATAAAAATACAAATTTAGAAAGGAATAAACACGAATACAAAAACAGCTATCATGGTCATTTACTAAGGAGAGGGATTCTCGCAAAAATGTACATTTTCACAGGCATAAGATAGGCTACTAGATTCAATATCTAATAATTATTAAGACAATTGCTCAGATATTCTCTGAAATGAATTAACATTTTTTCATACTTTTCTTTTCAATTTTGGGTCAAAAAAAAAAAAATAAATTATACATTGTACCCATTTTACATATTACTAGCACATTTTTTACATTTTAATATAATTGCAAACAAAAAAATGAATACTTCCATCATGGTGTAAGTTAGGACAGGGGGGGGGGTGCAAGGCGTGCAATGCATCGGACGCAGGTAAACCACAGGGGGCCTATTTTTAGCACTTTTCCGGAACGAAACGATTTAGCCATGCTTCGTATAGCTTATGCACCATTTCTAATTCATATAATAATGCTACTAATATGTATTTCTTAATATCATGAATATTGAATCATGATGTATGTAGAGATCAAGTGATTTAATATGAATTTGGGTAAAAGGACGTTTTTTTGTGTTATTAAGGTACCAACACACTTGTATTTGCTGTACCCTTGATAAAGAAGACCAGATAAAGTGTTTTGTGGTGGGTTCCACACTACATGTGTACGCTACGGCTCTTCAATATGGGTTTTCCAGTGTACAACCCTTTAACAGTCCTTTCTGTGTAATCAATTGTATACTGGTGAAACTTTGTGATCTCTGAAAGACACTGAATTGTCACACTTTCTCCCGCTGCTTGGAAATCACGTTTTCAAAAATGCAGGAAGAGACATGTTTACAAACAGAAGAATCGCCAACACACTTTTGCTAATATTTATACATGCCATGTGGAACTGATCAAAATCTGGGAAACATTTCTTAACAGCCCATTGTGTATCATACTCTCACTTGTAAAAACATACCTCTGGACAGAGATTAGATTTCATGTTATTTCCGCACAACGAATAAGAATTTGCAGTATCATCATTTGTCAAGGCAGGCTTTCAACTTTTTGATTTGGCTCATGATTTTATTTTTTGCAGAAAAATGGCATCAGAAAAACAAACATGTTTTGGGAAGTAAATCTTGGCTTTCCAATCTCTTCATAACATTTTTGTGTTTGACCTTGTGAATAAGCTGATACAAAATCATAAAACTTAATTTTACAGGAGAAAAAAAACATTTCAACTGACGCTGTATAATCAGGATTGATGATATTCAACGAAACCTACTACCCACAAGATCTTTCTTTTGCAAATAGATATTAATCCTAATTTAACTTCAGTTGACGGTTTTTTTTGCTCTCCAGTAAATTAAGTTTTTGACTCAATCGCTGTATTCATCGGGATTAAAGATACATTATTACATTTACTGTCTTTAAACATATGTGATATTGACAGAGATATGTGCATTGCTATGAGTTTGCTTTTGACAAATTATTTGTTTGAATGTGATTATAATTTTGTAAGTGTGAAGTGATTTGATTGGCAGATTCAGAAAATTAAAATTATAGTTTACTTTTACAGAAATATCCACATATATTATGATACAGCTCGGAAATTCAGGCTTTATTTACCTCAAATAGGCCATTCAAAAGGCATTATTCTAGTGAAAAGTAGGGGAGCAAACAGGCACTTAAACATATGAAAATTCATTTAAAAAAATTGTTATAAAAAAACTTAATAATTAAAATAAATCAATTTTATCTAATCTAAATTAATTAGTACGTAGATGTGTAAGAAAACATTTTCCTTTGTAATCTTTATTACATAGAAGCAATCGGGTATGATGCTACGAATTTGTTTTAATTCACGATCGTTACTTTTGAAATGCTATGTGGACTCCCTACTTAATTTTCTTGAAATGGATCAGATAAAATGGAATTATATTTTTTTTTTTCGCATTTGTGTTAATCGCCAGCCACTGAGAAGATTTTTATAATAATATAAGAGAGCTACTCTCAAAAACGGATTGGGGCTACATTCAAAAGTAGGAATGGGAGTTCCTCGTGAGGGAAACATAAGCTGTTGGCATTAAATGAAAAAGGAAAACACGATCGTACTTCGTGTTTGTTCAGGTTTACAGGTATCATATCCAACTTGGATTGAGAACGGTGCAGGAGAAGAACAACAAAATAATGTGTAAAAGCAAAAAAGGCAAAAATAGACAAAATGAATGGCAAAAATCAGCAATGAAAATCTACTAGAGCACATCCAGAAGTACAAATTAAAGATGCCTATTGTTAAAGTCGTAAATATAGTAAACATAAAAAGCATTTTGCACCCTCAGGGCTTCTTATTATGACAAGCACATACTTATAACATAACAGGAAATCAAATATTTCATGAATGTTGTTTTTTTTATTTGGTAGTAAACTTTATTGTAATGACCAAATTCATTTCTAAGTATCAGGAAAAGCATTTACTTAAGATACGAAGTTTACTTGTTAGTTAGTCACAATACTATTTTGTCTGCAACGACAGATTATAATAAGGTCCTATTACACACACATTTTTAGAGCATTAGTGTCATAATGAAGCTTTTATAGAGCAAGCATTTGAGAGTGCTAATTAAACATTCCCTCTTGTGAATAGAAATTAAGGCACAGCCTGGAGATAAACCATTGGGTCCATAAAAACAGGAGGGTGGACTAGAGATTAAAGAAAATTATTGCAATTACTTTATAACAAGAAAATTATTCTATAAACTGGAAATACTAAAAGATTGTTTAAAATTCCAATCATTATTGATGAATAAGAAACAATCTCTAACGCATGATCAGTCATCAATATTTACCAACGTCTGGTTGATAGGAAGTTCCACGTCCAAAATCCATCTCTATTGTTTAATGAATGCATATTTTTTCTTTGCTTTTCTGTCTTTGATTTTCTCAAAGTTATTGGAATACTCTGGAGACATTAATCTTTGTATTTCCGCTTTGATCTTGTTTTGGCTGAAGAAGAAAAATTAAGTGCACATAAAATGACTGACATAAACGTACTAAAACAATGCAAAATAACAGTCCATTAGCATTCAGAATAATCATATACCATAGCACGAAGAGAGGAGAGAGAGGGGGACAGAGGGGGAAAGAGGTGGAGGAGTGGGGGGGCAGGGAGGGGATAGGTTGGACCAACCCGACCGCAGGTGCACTCTAGTTCCCAGTCGCATTAAATAACAGGAAAAACTATCATGAATCCGTTCTGCATGTGTTCAATCTGAAACATGTTTTCTGACGCTTCAAAGAGCACTGTAAGAAATGAGAAAGTAGGAACGAGAAGGAACACAACGCAAAAGTGGCACTGGGGTGCATTGCTCGGGCAAGAGCTGTATGAGAACATGTGACGTATGCGACTTCAAATTCCTGCATGCTAGGGCAAATCAGTGTTGTCCTCCTTGAAGCACAGCAACAAGAGTGGGGGTAATTGCCACTCCACAATTTAGAATAGCGAATTTGTACTTTGAAATGAATATAGTGAACAAGTACATTTTTAAGCCCAATGAAATTAAGAAATTTGCTAATGGAGTAGGACCAGTTTTGGGTTTTTCTATATTGTTTTCGGGTGCAGTAAATTATCATTTGTTTCTTTTATAATTAAGTCACAGAACAGTAAAAATATAGAGGAAACTTTCATCTTCAAAACTGATTTATGGCTTTTTAAAAAAATAGAATAGACATAGATATGTGTAATTAAATAATAAATAAATTGTTGCATGGTGTGTGTAAAAAAAGTAAGGTAGATTTTATTTCCAATCTAGAAAATATACAAGTAGAATAAATTTACATGATATTTTAACAAGTTCATCTCAAATTCTGTTCTTGGACTAGGTGAATTTCAGGTTGCAATACATGGGAATATTCACAAACTCGGAATATTAAATTGCTTAAAAGGAATCTTTCATGTCATAAGTACAATCTGCCATACATTTTTACACAATAACTATACAGAATTATTATCGTTTCTCACCTTTTAATATAGAGTTGGTTATGTAAAGAATCTTCAAATGAATTTGTTGAGCTACTTCTCTTTCCATATTTGGTCTACTGTCCTGACACTGACCAAGACGTAACACATTCACAGTAATTTTGGCTGTTTTTGCTCCTCCACCGATGGACATGGTTGGCCTGCGATCTTTGCTTTTGTGGGGCTGAAAGTTCAATGAGTACACAATTTCTGACTTCCAATTGCAATAAAATCGTATAAGAACACATTTCTATATATCTTACTGATCAATAAAATTTCAATTAACTTTATACTAAAGAAATTTGAAATCAAGTGAACGCACAATTTTGGCGCAAATACACAATGAAACAATGTAACTTACGATCTCGGCAATTAATTCTTTCATATTTTTGATCTCATTGGTCTCATTACGCAGTTACAATTTATAGTGAGTGACATTTCCATTTTGGGTTTGCAGGGGTGGCTTCCAATCGTTGTAAGTGAATTTCAAATTAGCATACGAATTAGTAGCGGGTGGGCTTGGATTTGAAGAATTACACAAAGTTTTTTTCAGTCAGAAGAATGAACATTATATCCATGTTTCTGGTTATAAATAAGTAAGATAGGTTCATTTTAATCTGCAAGAGTTTGAAACATGCTCTTCAATGAATATTTAATAAAATCAACTAAAAAAACCAAAACTGAGGGTATTGCAATTTTCCTAATCATACTTCAAAGAAACAAAAATTGCAGACTTTTAAAAAAATTCGCAATGTATAAGATTATTTAATTTTTCAATTTGTTTGCATTAATAAACTTTTCCCAATTTGTATGGCTGCCATGTAACAGAATGACCACACAGGTCAAACGTGGCTTCTGAACCTTGGATTTTTTCTGAAATGAAAAAAAATGGAAAACATTGCACATAGAACTGCTGGATGTCATTAATTTCACAGTTGAGTGTTAGCAAGATGAATTGAGTATCGTAACCCAGAAAATTTTCAGTAATCATTTCAGGCAGCTACATACAATCATTTTTATCTAAGAGTCTTTGATAATATACTTGTGCAGCTAATCGATTACAAATTAACCTTGTCTTAGAACTGGACCACTTACAGTCAGGTTTTTGTAGTAAAATAATGTATTTGCTTTGGGCCTGTGCTGCTAGCTAAGCAATACTGTAAGTCTTCACATAAAAGGCATAACTGATGTAAGGTTAAGCGAGTCAATATATGATTGAAATTTCTGCTGTCGTGTCCTGAGGTATCTGGACATCATCTATCTCCCGCGTACAAAATAAATATCAAGCATTAAGTAATAAATAATCATTACAATGAAATACTTTCACTTGAAAATATAAACTTAATTTCACTTACCATCACCCCCACAAGCATCTCTTGTCCAGTCTAAAGAGTTAATTCTGAGAGGAGCTCTGTGAAGGTAAACAACATGGCCAAGCAATGAGCGGGAATAGTGTCAAATGATTCCCTCCAATAATAACAGCCATAAGTGATATTTTATGAATCTCACAGCCAGTTGTCCCTTACCTGTGCAAAATAAATATATAATGCTAGTAATAAACACTTTTTTCAACAAATGTTATTATTAGGTCATTTCATTATCATACATGCAACTTTTATTCCATTTGAATTTCGAGCAACTCTAGATCATCAAAACAACTTAAATTAGAACTTGTCTCAATTTTTCTATTGTTAATAGCAATAATTTTGGATTGAAATGGAAAATAACTTCCATTGCGAATTTCAAACTTTTCTTCAACGAGTCGTCCAGTCATAAGTCTTGTAAAGTTTTGATTGTCAAGCACAATGAAAGAGTAACTAGATGAAATAAAGTAGAATTAATAAGATTAATATATGACTCATTTGCTACAGGTAACCTTTGAACGCAAGTTCTTATTTTTTAGGACAAGCATTGAAAATTAAATTATAATGCATATAAAAACATGCCATGCACAAAAGAGAAGATGGAATTTTTTAATGTGGGCTCTAAATTTCATTTGTTGTCAATCATATAACATATACATAAAAGAAGAATTTTCAAACGATAACTAAAATGCTATTGTGACATGAAAAATCAATGTCCTTGTTTTGGAAAGACAATTTTATTTAATAAATTATAAAATATAAACTTGAATAAACCCTCTTCTCGTAGTACGATCAACAAGAAAACCTTTGCTGAAAATGAATGATCATAAAGTGCAAACATTTGATCCATAGAAGAAGCAGAAAAAGAAATGGTGAAAAAAAAACTAGTGGTATTACAATGGCACATTATTTTTCAGTATTTGAAAGGTTACGTAGGCATTATAATATTGCAAATCGTATCTACTTCAGTTTAAGTCAGAAAAACCTCAATTCACAATGAAGACAGGGAAAGGTATTCTAAAAAGGAATAATATAATATTTTATGAAAATTGAAAAACTTAATCATTAAAGTACTGAATCCCATTGAATAACGATTCTTAACAAACATTTTAAAGAGGCAAGTTTGCCACCAGTACTTTTACTTTGCCTTATTAACTGTAAAAACCACAATTTAACGATGCACAAGCACTGAGGTCATAGTGAAAAAGGGCATTTATTATAAACTCAAAGAAGAGACATATTTTGAAAACTTTTGAGATACTGGAGAACCTTCTAAGAGACCATTAGAAGCATTTATGTCATTAAATTAATTAAAGGTATAAAATACAGCTGCAACATGAATAGTTTCGTCATACACAAGATTTCTCCAAGGGTTTTTGTTTGTTTGTTATTTT